AGCACAGGGCTTTTCAAACTCTAACATGCCCACAAATCACCTGAAGATACTGACTGTAATTAAAGGCTGATTGTGATTCAGTAGATCTGGAGTGGAGCCAGCAAGTCTGCAGTTCCAAAAAGCTCCCAGATGATGCTAATGCTGCTGGTCCAGGGGCCACACACAAGTAGCAAGATCATAATGTGCATGCATGGTGCCCCGGAAACTGGGCAGTGCACAGCCTCAGAAGCCATGGTCAGCAGCCCTGGAAGGCATGTATATCTGCACCTCTAATCTGTCTGCACCAGCTATGATTGCCTTGCCATCCTTTCCCTCCCCTCCCTACAAGCCCCAGCAATAACACCTTTACTCCAACTATCCATAACATTAGGCCCAGGATTTTCATTCCATTGAATCAAACCCTAGGGAAGCTCTAGGCTGAGTCCCAGTCAATCCATCACAAACTAACCATGTGACTTGGACAAGTTGCTAAACTTGTTGGAGAGGTGTTCTTCTCTTTCAAATGAGTAGCAATACATATGTATATCTGTCCATCCATTCAACAAACAGTTATTGAGACCCACATATGCCAGGCCTTTAACTGACATATCAATTTTGTAAAGCTTAGAGAAGATGTGTAGGAAACTACCTAAAAAGCAGAAAGTACTTCTACATAAAGACTTGGGCATAAATGTGCATAGCAGCTTTGTTTCTTTTTATTTTTTAATTGATAAAAAATTATATGTGTAATGTACAACATTATATTTAACTATATGTATAAATTGTAGAATAGCTACATCATAGCAATCAATATATGCAGCTTTATTCTCAATATCCAAAAACTGGAAACCATCCAAATGTCCAAAGACAAGTGAGTGGGTAAATAAATTGTGGGATAGCCATACAATGAAAGACTACTCCGCAAAAAGAGAATTCATTGCCGATACAACAACATGGCTAAATCTCATAAATATTCTAAGCAAAAGAAGTCAGACACTAGAGAGTAAATACTGTGACTCTGTATTTCTAAATCTTTAGGAAAGACAAAACTAACATATAATGACAGAAAGCAAGTCTATGCTAACCTAGAGTTGGAAGGGCAGAGACATTGATTTTGAAGGGGCACAGAGAGCTTTTCAGAGTAATGGGGCTCACATGGGTGCATAAATTTGTCAAAATTCATTGAACTGTATGCATAAGGCATGTACATTTCATTGCAATTTTACTTTAATAAAATTGATTTTTTAACATTAAAAAAGTCATAGGAAGGACTGCATGAACGTTACTTATTATTCATATCGCTATTCTTATTCTTTTTTAAATTGCTGCCCAAGTGATGGTAATTTATTATTTCATTCAACAAATATTCAAAATTTCACAGGCCATGCCCTGGGGATTAAAACAAATGTCCAAGACAGTTCACACTGTGGTGAGCAAGACACTCAGCAGCCAACATCTAAAAGCATTATTTGATAATTGCTAAGAGAGAGAGAAGGCAGAGGCTGGGAGGAACAGTATCTAATTCAGCTTGGGTGTCTAACAGTGTTCCAGAAGAAAGGAAGCTTTAGTTGAGTCCCAAAGGCAGAATAAAAGCAAAGCAGGAGAGGAAGAAATGGATGTTTCATACGCAACTAGAGACAGGAGTGTTGAGCTTCGTCTGGGAGGATTCAGATTCACTGGGTGTGGCTGTGGAAAGAGACGGGAAATGAGACTTTAGAGCGGTGCTTCTCACATTTAGCTGCTTCAGAACCATGGATCTGGTCATACATAGGTTTCTGGGCTCCATCCCAGAATGTCTGGGTCAGTAGGATTGGGCAGGGCCTGGGAATCTGCATTTCTGGGGTTCTGACAGGTAATGCTGATGCTGCTGGTGCAGAGACCTCACTTTGAGAACCACTGAACTAGATTTAGAAGGGAGTCATGGGAAGCTCAAGGCCCATTCCCAGCCAAGCCTCTTGACCACGGCTTCATGGCCTTGAAATTCAGCACTCAGGGTGAGTGGATCATGCTAAGGACAGCAAAGACAGGGGTGGGTTTAGTTCCTTCCCTGAGGTCCCATCTCTGCTGCGCTGGTCCCTGGCCTTGAAGCTTCCTTCCCTCTTAATCTCTCTTCTGTGACCCTTCGGGGTCACATTCTGTCATTGATCCAGCAATGTGCGTGAGCACTGCCTCTCCAGGCTTTGCCATTGCTCACAGCTTGGAAGGCGACAAAGCTTTTACAGGTTGTCTAATCCCAGGTGGATAATCCTGGAGTTCTCCCACACTCCCCTTCGGACTCCATCCCTGGCTTCTCAAAAAAACTGTCAACTCTCACTGACCTCTTTTCCTTCCCATATAACAAAAACATGAAACAATCTCCCCATTACAAACACTGCTCTAAAACCCCCAACATGTGAAGAGCAAAAAAATAACTGTTCATTCTTGGTTTCTTGGTTATGTTGGCTCACTTACTCTGATAAGGGACTAATTTTTTACGTCACTGACAGATTGAGGACACTAGAATTAGAAATAAGAGACAATGGAGTCACAGGTTTTATGAAAAGGAAAAAATAAAGAGAAATGAAAGAGAAGATCCTGGTAAAAGAGAATACTGTACAAGATAAGCTTTGTTTTCAGGATAGGCGCAGTGGCTCATGCCTGTAATCCCAGCACTTTGGGAGACCGAGGCCGAGGCGGGCGGATCACCTCAGGTCAGGAGCTCAAGACCAGCCCGGCCAACATGGCAAAACCCCATCCCTACTAAAAAATACAAATATTAGCCAGGCATTGTGGCAGGCGCCTGTAATCCCAGCTACTTGGGAGGCTGAGGCAAGGAGAATTGCTTGAACCTGGAAGGTAGAGGTTGCAATGAGCCGAGATCGCTCCACTGCACTCCAGCCTGGGCAACAGAGCAAAACTCCTTCTCAAAAAATAAAACAAACAAACAAATAAGCTTTGTTTTCTAACAGATACAATAAACTTGGCCCATTTGAAATTTAAATTCAACCACATAAAACTGCCATTTTTGTAGGTCAAAAACAGTGGGATATTTGCAAATTTACATGATTCAATGTAACTATATATTCTAATTATATTAAATATGTACAATTTTACATGTCTCAATTATGTAGAATATCTTAATTACATTTTGAATTACATATCTTAATTTTATATACTAATTATATATTTATTATATATCCTATTAATCATATGTAGGATATAATCATATAGAATATACATATCATGTATTTTAGGATATATTAGCTATATTGGAAATTTTATATATACATGTATATTTTTTCTAAATCATATATACACTAATTAAATAAGCTAATTATATAGATATATAAATGCAATGATATATCTTCTAATTTGAAACCTATTTTAATTATACGTGAATATGTCTGTATATGTAGAGACACACATTAGGATATATGTAAAATTACAGTATATTTATATTAGAAGACATGTGCACACATTTACACCCACAAAATTCAAACACTGGCCTGTAATAAAATTAGGATTATTATTGTTGGTCTTTTGCAGTTGCAGTACAGAAATATGTGAATTTCTGACAGCATACCACCACCTTGTGTGTTTTTGTGGAAACACACGTGAGCATTATAGCCCCTTGCCTTAGAAGGGATTTGCAGTCATTCATGTATTTATGTATACGTATGTATTTAAATCTTTTTCAGAGACAGGGTCTTGTTCTGTTACCCAGGCTAGAGTGCAGTGGCACAATCACAGTTCACTGCAGCTTCCAAGTCCTGGGCTCAAGTGATCCTCCTGCCTTAGTCTCTGAGTAGCTAGGACTACAGGTGCCTGCCACCATGCCTGGCTAAATTTTTTCAATTTTCTTTTTGAGAGATAGGATCTTGCTATGTTGCTAAGGCTAGTCTCAAACTCCTGGCCTCACAAGTTTCCCACCTCAACCTCCGAAAGTGCGGGATTACAGGCATGAGCCACAGCACCCAGCCTGCAGTCACTCATTTAATAAATATTTAGTTAACATCTACTATTATTCTTTCACTGGGATAGATGCAGAGCACAGTGATTTCCAGTCTGGGAACTTTTCATGGCAAATGATGTCCATCCTCCAGGCAAAGAATGTAAATGTAAGAAGTAGGCTAGGGATAGGAAGTGAGTTGAAGAATAAATGTCCCACAGATCTGGGCCAACCACTGCTCAGTCAAAACAGGTGCTCCAAGAAGGGAGTATGGGCCCAGCACCTTTTCCTAAGAGAAGCCAAAAATTCAAATGTTAGTGTAAAAATCCTTGATTTTAAAATAATAATTTATTCTAATTATTTCCAAACACCATAAGCCGATGTCTTGCATCTGTGGGCTACATTTAGCTCACATCATGCCCAATTTGAACCCATGGGTTGTGCTTTTCATAGTCTGTACTGTACAAACTTTTTATGCTTTCCACATACACACATATAATTAAAACTCATGGATTACCTTTCCATCATTTTAGTGTGGCTTCACAAATGAGCAGAGGTATATGCTGATGCCTGGAGATGCAACGGTGAGCATTCTTTTAGTAATAAAGGATTCAGTTATATTTGAATTCTTTAGAACTGATTCTCGTTCTTGTCAATCAACTGTGAATTTTCTGTGTTAATTTCTAGCAGAGGTAATAGAGTTAATCCAAAACCATAGGTGTATTCAAGTCCAGATTGACAAGTATACTCAACAAACCATGCACTGAGCTGAAAAAACGATCGTTTCCCAGTGGGCCTTAAGGCCCACATAAATTCCTGTGCAAAAATCGAGAAAAAAAGACAGAAAGTGACTGACTCGCCTAAGGCTTGTCACTTGAAAGTGAGTGGCTGACTGACTGGCAGAGGGCTGGAAATCAAATCCAAATCTCCTGACCTCTAATTTCAGAGGGTGCACTGCCTCCCCAAGGCCCAATTTTACAGTTAAATGGCTTAACAAGGACTTTACTGGATTGAAGTCAACATTAAAAGACATTAGATTCCATCGGCACAGTCTTTGGCCCCTTGTCTCTAATGAGAATTTGCCCAGTTCAAATTTTTTTTTTATATCTATCTATATTTTTATACTGGGGGGAGGGAGAAGAAAAGAAAGAAACCCCTATACTGGGCCCTATTGAGTGGCAGCTTCTTGTTCCATAGGGTTAAGGAAGACTGAGGAAATAAAAGTTGTTTGGAAAAATCCAGGTGTAGTTGCTTTGTATGTTGTGATGGGTAGAAGGGATGAACTGCAGTGTGAAGGCCCCTCATACCCTCCATCTTGCCTCAGACTATGTCCTGGAATCCTGGGGCAGAGAAAGCGCCACTTTCATTCCTGCTTCTTGGGATTGTTGACGGCCACGTAGTGATAGAGAACGACAAGCAAGAAGAGCGACACGCCCAGCATGTTGGCAAAGATGGCGAGCTGCACGTCCGTGATCATCCTGACCAGTCCGGCTCGGCTCCGACGCCGCCTGCGAACAAGCCCGAGGTAGGAGACCTCGCCCAGTTCAAATTTTAACATTGGGTCTAACCTGAGAGATCTTGACTTTCAGCCTGAAACTCTTGAAAAGGCTTGATTAACTTAGGAGTTCCTGCTACAAAGTAAGAGTCAAGAATCCTCTTCAGCAAAGGTCAGCTGGCCTCAGTGGTAAATGGGAAATGAGCTGGTTTCAATCACCACCCTCTCACCAATCATCAAGATAAATTTCTTATAACATACATGTATTGTGTTTTTAGGAGGGCTGGGGATTATCCAATGTTCTGAGTAACATGCTACCATAGGAAGAAGGATTTGCTGCTCAGGACTGGAGACAGACAGACAGACAGACAGACACACACACACACACACACACACACACACACACACAGGCTTGACACACAACTGGTAGTGTCCAGCTAAATACTCAGTAGTATGAGGAGGGCTTTGAACCCATCCATGCTCCAAAGGAAGAGACACATTTCCCTAATTCACACGTCCATTCTCCCACCTTCTCCCTCAACGCTGCCTCCTCCTCAAGCCCACGCATTACTACGTAGAACAAAATTAGGCAGGGCTATCAGGTTAAAGCATTGTCAATGATGCGCTCATTAAAAACAACAGCACAGTCAAAAAGAAAGCATGCTTGCATGTGATGCACTGGACAGAGGGAGGATTCACATCCTGGTGGGATGGAGAGGAACGATGTAAGATTTCATCACGCTACTCAGAACAACATGCAATTTAAAACTTCTAAACTGTTTATTTCTAGAATTTTCTATTTCATATTTCAGACATTGACCAAAGGTAACTGAAACAGTAGAAAATGAAATTGTGGGTAAGCAGGAAACTACTGCAATTGTTACCCTGATATAATAATCTAGCCAGGCCTGCCAGGATGTCTTCCTCAGGGGATATTTTAAAACATCAAAAATCAAAAATGGGGACTGCCAGGCAACATGGCTGAGTAGGAACAGCTCCAGTCTGCAGCTCCCAATGAGACCAACGCAGAAGGCAGGTGATTTCTGCATTTCCAACTGAGGTACCCAGCTCATCTCATTGGGACTGGTTAGACAGTGGGTGCAGCCCATGGAGGGCGAGCAGAAGCAGGGTGGGGCGCAGCCTCGCCCGGGAAGTGCAAGGAGCCGGGGAACTCCCTCCCCTAGCCAAGGGAAGCTGTGAGGGACTGTATTGTAATACTATGTTTTTCCCACAGTCTTTGCAACCGTCAGACCAGGAGATTCCCTCAGGCTCCTACACCACAAGGGCCCTGGGTTTCAAGCACAAAACTGGGCAGCCATTTAAGCAGACACCAAACTAGCTGCAGGAGTTTTTTTATCATACCCCAGTGGCACCTGGAACCCCAGCAAGACAGAACCGTTCACTCCCCTGGAAAGGGGGCTGAACACAGGGAGCCAAGTGGTCTATCTCAGCGGATCCCACCCCCACAGAGCCCAGCAAGCTGAGATCCACTGGCTTGAAATTCTCGATGCCAGCACAGCAGTCCGAAGTTGACCTGCAATGCTTGTGCTTGGTGGGGCGAGGGGCATCCACCATGACTAAGGCTTGAGTAGGCAGTTTTCCCCTCACAGTATAAACAATGCAGCAGGGAAGTTAGGACTAGGTGGAGCTCACCACAGCTCAGCAAAGCCGCTGTAGCCAGACTGCCTCCTCAAGTGAGTCCCTCACCCCCGCGCCTCCTGATTAGGAGACACCTCCCAGCAGGGGCTGACAAACACCTCATACAGGTAAGCTCCAGCTGGCATCCGGCAGGTGCACCTCTGGGACGAATCTTCCAGGGGAAAAAACAGGTAGCCATCAATGCTGCTCTGCAGCTTCTGCTGGTGATACCCAGGAAATACAGAAAAATACAGGAAATACAGAGAACCCCACTAAGATATGCCTTGGAAGAACAACCCCAAGACACAATCACCAGATTCACCAAGGTTGAAATGAAGGAAAAAATGTTAAGAGTCGCCAGAGAGAAAGATTGGGTTACCCACAAAAGGAAGCTCATCAGACTAACAGCGGATCTCTCTGCAGAAACCCTACAAGCCAGAAGAGAGTGGGGGCCAATATTCAACATTCTTAAAGAAAAGAATTTCAACCCAGAATTTCATATTCAGCCAAACTCAGCTTCATAAGCAAAGGAGAAATAAAATCCATTACAGACATGCAAATCCTGAGGGATTTTGTCACCACCAGGCCTGCCTTACAGGAGCTCCTGAAGGAAGCACTAAATATGGAAAGGAAAAACTGGTACCAGCCACTGCAAAACTTACCAGAATATAAAGACCAGTGACGCCGTGAAGAAACTACATCAATTGATGGGCAAAATAACCAGCTAGCATCATGATGACAGGATGAAATTCACACATAACAATATTAACCTTAAATGTAAATAGGCTAAATGCCCCAATTGAAAGACACAGACTGACAAATTGGATAGAGTCAAGACCCATCAGTGTGCTGTATTCAGGAGACCCATCTCTTGTGCAAAGACACACATAGGTTCAGGACTAAGAAACTCACTCAAAACTGCATAACTACATGGAAACTGAATAACCTGCTCCTAAATGACTACTGGGAAATAACTAAATTAAGGCAGAAACAAATAAGTTCTTTGAAGCTAATGAGAACAAAGACACAACATACCAGAATCTCTGGGACACAGCTAAAGCAGTGTTTAGAGGGAAATTTATAGCACTAATTGCCCAGAGGAGAAAGCAGGAAAGATCTAAAATCAACACCCTAACATCAAAATTAAAAGAACCAGAGAAACAAGACCAAACAAATTCAAAAGCTAGCAGAAGACAAGAAACAACTAAGATCACAGCAGAGAAATAACTAAGCAAGGAGCTCAGTTATTTCTCACAGCAAGGAGAAATAACTAAGGAGAAGGAGATAGAGATAGATGATCCCTATAGGAAAATCCTAATTGAAAGGGAGGAAGGGGCAAGCACACTGCAATAATCTATAAAAATTCTGAAATGCAGTTCGGTATACGCTTCCAGTGCCTTATCAAGATTCAGTCCTACTGTCTGGGACTTGTTCTCTGTGAATTTCAAATTCCGAGACATATCTGGTTAAGGGATGCAGTAAAGGATTGTGAAGCTGTACTCAGAGACTATAAGAAAAAGACGTGATAAACACTCCCATTGCCTTTCAAAGACTGAGCTCTTCAGAGGATGCTGTTGTTGCTTCTGTTTCTCAAGATGATTAGAGTTTGAGGAGTGGAATTTTAAGCAGCTCAGAGGTAAATGAGATAAAGGCTAAATGGTTCTGTAACCATTTCTTCTGCCCCTGCACTGACAGATTATCCCAAAAGAGCACAGTTATGAGGAGTACAGAGTGCAGTCAAGTGCTGCAGGACATAACTTTGTCAAATACTTCATATGTGCCAGGCACTGTGCTCAAGGCTTTACTGGCATTATCCCATTCAATCCTTCTAAAATCTAATGAGGCAGGTACTAACCTACATATTTTACAGGTGAGAAAATGGAGGCTTAGAGATGTTAATCAGTGTGCTGAAGATTTGCAAAGTTAGAAAATAGTTGCAAAAATTGTGAAATGACTTTCTCCATCATTTTGCTTGTTTTCACCATTACAATGGATGTGAAAAAATTTTAATCTCTACTACAGCAGTCCCCAACCTTTTTGGCATCAGGGACCAGTTCCATGAAAGACCATTTTTCCACAGATCACAGGGTTGGGGAGGGGATGATTCAATTACATTACATTTACTGTGTACTTAGTTACTACTATTATTACATTGTAATATACAATGAAATAATTATACAATGCATATAATGCGGAACATGTGGGAGCCCTGAGCTTGCTTTCCTGCAACTAGATGGTCCCATCTGGGGGTGATGGGAGACAGTGACACCCAACGTGTGTTGCTTATGTCCAGTCTACTCCATAATCTCATTATGGTTTCTGTCACTACAAAAAACCCTGTTTCACAAAGATAGGACATTGGAAATAAAAGCAGGCTTTTCAGTGCTTTTGTGGCGATCTCAGGATATTCCACTTTGACTTTAATCCAGAACATAAGAAGATTTGAAGTTGTCTCAAACATACTTTTAAGGGCACCATCATTTTCTATCTCAAGCAGTTGATCCTCTTCTAACATGGACAAAGTCAATTCACCTGGCTTATTCACAGATGGGTTGCAAATCCATTCCTTCCTAGTTTGATGGTCTTTGTGGTTGGGAAGTACTGCTCAAAATCTTTTGGAAACTGAGACGGGTGATCAGGCACCAGCTGGGAGAAAGAAGGCCCTGGCTCAGTCTCTTTCAAAATCTCTGCTAATGTTTGAAACAGGTCAAAAATCCCAGTGTTCACTTGTCACCCCCAGAATTCCAGCTTGGCTTTGAATGCGGCCACCTTATCTGCTGACTTGAACACAGTTGTTCTCCTCTGAAGCGACAGATTGAGTTCATTGAGCAGGTTGAATACATCACACAAGGAAGCAAGTTTTGCAACCCACACTGTGTCACTGAAATGTGCTGCCAATGGTGACTGTTTTTCTAAAAGAAATCTCTGAAACAGTTCATAACTCAAAAACTCTGGCCAGTAATCTACCTTTAGAAAGCCTCTTACCTCTATATATAAGAGAAGATGTGTGTGCTCTGCAGCCACCTCCTCACAGAGCTGTGTGAACAGATATCAGTTAAGGGTGTGTACTTTAATGTGGTTGATAATTTTAATCACATCCTGCAAAACATTGTTAACTTCAGGTGACATTTTTCAGCTAGCCGGCATTTTTCTATGGATGACACAGTGCATAGACTCACATTCACAAGCGACCTCTTTGACCCAAGCAGTGAAACCAGAAAGCCATCTAGTCATGGCAGCCACTCTGTCCTTGCATAAATCAACACAAAATGACCAGTTCAGTTTCCTGATACGTAATCATTCAAAGACTTGAATAGTTTGGCAGCTGTGGTATTGGTTGGCAACAAAAGTATCCAAAACATATCCTTATGCACATCCTCTTGAAAACTATATCACACAAAAACAAATATTGTTGCTTTGTCAACATCAGTGGACTGGTCAAACTGGATTGTGTACTACAGTGACTTATTAATCCTCTCTAACAATTGTGCCTCAATATCCTCTGCTATTTCATCAATTCCTCTAGTTACGGTACCAGCCAAAAGAGGAACACATGTTAGCTTCTGAACTGCAGACTCTCCTAAAAGTTCATCACAAATGTCCTTAGCAACCGGCAGGATCAACTCTCTACCAACAGTAAAGGGCTTCTTACCTTTAGCAATGTGGTTAGCCACTAAGAATGATGCTCTCAGTGCAGACACATTTGATGAAGTGGTGGCCTTCAATAATTGCTTCTGTTCTTCACGTTCATGTTTTTTTTTTTTTCTTTTGAAAAACTCCAAAGGCTTGTTTTTTAATGCCGGGTGCTTGG